TTTCTGAACATGAGCCCAAAAGCAGAAGCAGCAAAAGAAAAAGTAAACAAATAGGACTATATCCAACTAAAAAGTTGCTGCACAGCAAAGGAAACAATCAATAGAGTGGAACAACAACCTACAGAGTGGGAGAAAATTTGTGGTAACTATGCATCTGACAAGGGTATAATATCCATAATACATAAGGAACCTGACTGTGTACACAGTAAAAGAACAAATAATCCTATTAACAAATGGGCAAAGAGCTGAATACACATTTTTCAAAGGAAGACATAAAAATGGCCAACAAATACATGAAAAAATGCTCAGCATCACTAGTCATCAGGGAAATGCAGATTAAAACTACACTGAGATACCACCTCACCCCAGTTAGACTGGCTATAATCAAAAAGACGGTAAATAACAAATGCTGATGAGGGTGTGGAGAGAAGGGAACACTATACTGTTGGTGGGACTATAAATTAGTACAACCACTGTGGAAACCAGTATGGAGGTTTTCAAACAACTACAGATAGATCTTCCATATGATCCAGCAATCCCACTTCTGGGTATATACCCAGAGAAATGGAAATCATCATGTTGAAGGGATACGTGCACTCCCATGTTCATTGCAGCTCTGTTTACAATAGCCAGGATATGGAACCAGCCTAAATGTCCATCAGTGGATGATTGGATAAGGAAAGCATGGTATATATACACCCATGGAATACTACTCTGCCATAAAAAAGAATCAAATTCTCCCATTTCATTGCTTATAACAAAATACTTGTAACTGGGTGATTATAAAGTAGACAAAATTTATCGCTTACAGTTTCTGAGGCTAGGAAGTCCAAAGTCTATCTGGTGGTGGCTACCATGACCCAGGGGTCTCAGATTGCAAGATGGTAGAAGAAGAAAGAGCAGAGAGAGAAAGACAGACTCTCCTCTTCTTTTAAAGCCATCAGAGCCATGCCCTTGACCACCATTTTTAATCCATACACTACAGTAAGGTCCTACAATCCAATCACCTCTTCAAGGCTCCACCTTTCAATTACCATAATAGGATTTCCCACCCTCTTAACAGTCACAGTGGGGGCTAAGTTTCTAATACATAAAACTTGGGGAACACAATTCAAGCTTCAGGGAGTTTGGGGGGACACAATTCAATCCACTACATTCCACCCCAGCCCCCCAAACTCATGTCCATTTTGCATGTAAATACATTCATTTCATCCCCAAAGTCTTAACTTGTTTCAACTCAAGTCCAAAGTTCAAAATCCCATCTGTTTAAATCAACACAAGTTATCTACTTCCAAAAAACAATGGTAAAATAAACATAAGATATATATTCCCATTCCAAATGGGAGAAATAAGCCAAAAGAAAGGGGTAACATGTCCCAAACAAGTTCGAAACCCAGCAGGGCAGGCATTAAATCTCAAAGCTGGTGAATCAGGTAACTTGACTCCATGTTCGACCTCCTCTGCATGCTGTTGTAGGAGTTGGGTCCCCAAGTCCTTGGGCAGCTGAGCTCCTATGGCTTTCCTGGTCTCAGGTGATGCTTTAGCTCTTGGAGGCTGGTGTTGCACATTGGTAGCTCCACAGGTCCAGGGTCTCCATGGAGGTCCCACTCTCACAGCTCCAGTTTCTGAGACTAGGAAGTCCAAAGTCCATCTGGTGGTGGCGACAGTGACCCAGGGGTCTCACATTGCAAGATGGTGGAAGCAGAAAGAGCAGAGAGGAGAGTTGCACATTTTTAAGAGCCTCTGGTACAGTGGAATTGCTGGGTTGCAGGGTATGCGCATGTTCAACTTCACAGTTTATCATTTTCCAAAGTGCTCTTACCATATTGCACTAGTAATATCTAAGAGATGCTATTTATTCATATCCTTTTCATCACATAGCACTGTCTAATTTATAAATTTCTGCCAATCCTGTGAGTGTAAAATGATGTTCCACTGGGGATGTAATTTGCATTTCCCTGATTAAGTGGGAAGTTAAGCTCCCTTTCATTGGTTTATTGGCCATTCATCTTTTTTCTGAGAATTGCTTAGCTTCTTTACCCATATTTTTGTTTCTTAAAAAAAATCGTTAGTAGGAGTTCTTTATGTATTTCAAATGCCAATCCTTTGTCAATTATATGAGTAAAGTATATTTACTCCCTATCTGTGGCTTGACTTTTCACCTTTTTTTACTGTTTTTTTTTTTTTTAAGGATTTTAATTTTTATGTTTTTATATTCTTTCCAGTTTGCATATATATATATTTTTTCCTTTGGTGGCTAAGCCACTGCCTATTTTTGTATCTTGTTTTCTATATCTTGTTAAGTTTGCCCTTTACATTACAATGATAGTCCCTTTTACTTTATTCTTTAAGGTTATGCTGTTCAATTTTAGTTCTTTGATCCACCAGGAGTTTATTTTTATGTATAAGAGGTAGAGTTTCATCACCATTTATTAGAGCATAGCAATAGCAATAGATGATCACTAGCTTTCATAAAATATTCCTTAGATGCTTTTGCTTTCATGTCTGTTTTGTTCGATACTGTCTGTAGGCATTGCCAGTTCTGAACTGTAAATGGTGCAAAGCCTGAGGGTCTCTGGAGGACCCAAATGATTCCCATTTGCACTGAAATTCTAAACAAGGGCTCTTATACTTCTGAGCCAGTCAGATCTTAGGGTAGTCGTTCTTCAGGCCCTCAGCTTATTATGGAGAGGGTCTTCTGTTTTACTATACTTTCTTTGGACTCTGGTTTTTCTCCCACTTACTTTGCTAGGCTCACAAATCAGAATGACATTTTGTTTTGTTTTGTTATTTTAATGAAACATAATTGATTATACATATCTGTGGGATACTGCATTGAATATCAGTACCTGTGTGGTGCAATATGTGTTGCTCAAATCAGGGTAGTTAGTATATTCATCATTATACAGTGTAATCATTTTTTGTGGCCCTTTACCAATTTCTCCCTAACCCGCCCTGCTTCCCCACCTCTGCTTCCCCACCTCTGCTGGCCTTGGTTCTGTTCTTGCCTTTTGAAAGTTCAATGAATTATTGTGATTGTTGTATCTTTCTTTTTGTTTGGGGATCTTTGAGCCTCCTGGATCTGAAGGTCCATGTGTCTCCCTATACCTGGGAAGTTTTCAGCTATTATTTCATTGAATATGTTTTCGTAAGGGGATCTTAACCCTTG